AAGGTTTATAAACCTGTATCAGGACAGCTTGAGAGTTCTAGTGCCAGTTTTCATCAATTTAACAGATGGGCTACATCAAGGAGCCACAAGAAAACTGTACTGAGGAACTACAGAGGAAAGCAGGGGCCCAAGTGCCACCTAGCATCCAAGCAATCCGATACAGAAACATACAGCAATCCCTAAACTTGTTTCTTCCCTGAGTATTTTCTCTCCCTCCCATTCCCATGGCTTGATCCATACAATTCTCCCTAAGCAGAAGGCCTTAATATAAAATTAAAATAATTGAAATCACTCATTTAATCTTCATCCATCTCATTTCCTCCTCCATAACATTTAAAAGATCTGACCCTTTCTCTGTATCCTACAACAAAATTCCCATCCATGCCATGATCTCCCATCCATTCCAAGATCTTCTATCTTCATTACTGCAATGTCATTCTCTCTGGTATTCACCTCATCTCTCTCCAACTGATACAAAACATGGCTACTATAAATTTCTTCTTATCCTATTAATCTGACTACATCATCCGCTCCTTTGAATCTTTTCACTGGCTCCCCTTCTCCATTACATGTAACTAAGGTGACCAGATGTCCTGATTTTACAGGGACAGTCCCGATTTTGGGGTCTTTCTTATATAGGCTCCTATTACCCCCCAGGCCCTATCCCGATTTTTCACACTTGCTGTCTGGTCACCCTATACGTAACTCAGCCTTTTAGCCTTTCTGTTCAGGCCTGCATATCTTCTTTCCTGCCTCTTTATCTAACCTTGCCCCTTCTCATGTAGACCCTGCCATCCCCACCACTGACACCCCATTGGTCTCTTTCTTCCACAAGCATCTCTATGACTTTTTCCATGCCACTCCAACGCAGAATACCCTCCCTTCTATAATCTGCCCAGCTACAACCTTCTACTCATTAAGAGCTCATGCCTGAAAGATGCAGAGCACTCTAGCCCAGACCCAGCAGTGCACTTTAAAGGAGCTTAAGTGAATGCTTAATTGTTTTCTAATATCAGAGTCAGAGCGCTCAGCACTTTGCAAGATAAAGCCCTTAGATTTTAGCTGAAAATTAATCTCTTCATAATAATGAAGTGAGCCAAGAATAATTCACTACCTTCAATCTTTATCTTCCCTATTTTTGTACATTCAACCCGCACCCCAACTGTACCACTATGGTGTGTACATATCTGATATGAATATCCCACCATACTGCTTATCCTCCTCACTTGTTACACACCGCACTTGCTGGGAGTTAGCATGGGTCCTAACTGGCATGGGGAGGAGTGGCAGTGCCTCCTGACAGCACCCTCTCTTCACACCTCAGCAGCTTTGCATGTGGACAGAGTTTGAGAGACCTTAATTCCCACCCTCATAATCTGATTGGCCCATTTGTGGGCCAGGGGTCATTTCCTTGGCTCCATAACACCCCCTTTACACACACACACACACACACACACACACAGGAGAAGGAAATTTGCTTCACCTGGACATTGGCCACCATTCATGCATCTACTTTTTTTGCCTCCATGCCTCCCATTTCCTCCCCCACAACCCAGCCTTCCCATGGATTGTTTCTTTGTTGTTTTTCTTATTGCTAGATTTTCCTTTTTCCTCAGAGATTTGCCCAATGACCTTTTAAGAAAGTTCTTTCCAACTTTGCAAATTGGTAGCTACAGGTATCTGGATTTTGCCTTCCATAGAGAACATAGGACAGAGTTTTGTAGTTCTGATATTTGTGTGGCAGGTGTCTAACACAGGTTAACTGAGGCAGTGGTGAGGCAGAGTTGCATTGACAGACATGGGCACTGGCTAGACTGGTTTCAATGTTTGATGGAGAGCCTTGATTAAGCCCACACCCATCACATGAGGAAAGGGCAGAGGCGATTTGATCCCTGGTAGGGATTTTATTGAAGTGGAGCAGGGCTAACCTCACCTTAGGAATTGCTCTGCCTTTATGGCCATTTGTTTTGGGAACCACAGTAGATAGTCTGCACTGGGAAAATCCACTGAGCTTCTCCCCCCTCTCCCTGACCCTCCCTCTCCCTGAGTCCTGGCTTTATTTGGAGACTTATCCTTTGAAAACTCTTGAAATCTTTTACATATATTCTCCCCAATTGCCCCCACCTTTTTTTCTTAATGGGACTCCTCATTTCCAGCAGTTTTCATGTAAATATAGAGGTAATAGGACTACATAAACGTAAATCTATCAAAAACATAATAAATGAACCATCCATTTTAACAAGAAAAATATGATGCCACATAACTTCTAGAGCATATTATTGCTGTTCCCATGAAAAGTGTCCATTTGGGAAATGTCCATTTAGAAGGAGAAAATCCATTAGTAGAGGACTATATCATGAAAGTGAGTAGGCATTACCGGCTATCAATCCTAAATAGCTCTTAGAGAGAGGTGAAGGGGAAGGAGTAAACACAGAGAAACAAAGGAAGGGAAATAAGAGTGCACATTGATTCCCACATTTTGGGTGTCTCCTCCCTATGTTAGGAGATTTAGAGGTACCTACAAGAACACAAATTCTAATTGTTTTTATTTCCTTCATTCATTTGAATGGATTTGAAATTAATCAAAATCCTTCATGGTCAAAGAGTCATTATGATACTGAATCTTCCAGGGTCAGTTTAAACTGTCACTGGACGTTTCGGCCCCAGCTTCCACCAATCAATTTTTACTTTAGAAGTACCTATGAATTGAGCTGAGCCCCTCTTGATCAAGATTAATTACCTTCTTTAACAAAATTTTTTTAACCTGTTTACAGCCTCGCTTTAAGTTTTAAAGTCCAGTTTTTAAGACAGAGTTTCTTTTAGAAAAAAGTTGCTCCCATAAGCACTTCAAAAAGCAGAAGATGCTGTGGACTTCCCAGCAGCATGCCCTTGGATTTAAAGTCTTTGAAGTATTGGAGGGAGCAGCTTTCAACAAAGAGACGCTGACAGTTTTTTAATGTGTAGACTTTAAATTTACTTACAGCCAAAACCATGAAAAGATTAAAAGTTTACTTTTTACAACTACTGGTTTCTTTTTGGCATGAGCAGCTTTGCAAGGCAGAGGTACTGGGACTGAAAGTTCTCAGCTGAGATTGTGAAGGTTCATAGGATCTTTAGAAATTGATTCAAAAATAATTTTAATACACATACTGGTTTCCCATTCATAGTTATTTTAAAAGGAGCCTAACCACATAGTAAAAAATATGTAAATGAACTCAGATTAACTTTTCATATAGATATTTAAAATAACCATTTTGTAAGCAAAATGCTGTATGTATATTACACAGCAGATGCAAGACAATCTTCATCCTCATTTATCTTGCATGTCCAAGCTGTGTCAACTACACAATCACCATACAAAATTCTTTACAAGAGTATTAGAACTGGCCAAGATATTTTCAATGACATTTTTTCCAGTGGAAAATGCCAATCCATGGAAACCAAAACATTTTTTGGGAAAGTCAGTTTTGACAAATTTTTTTTACTCAAAAATACTTTGGAAAAAAAAGTATTGAAATTGTCAAAATGTCTCAACAATTCAGAAAATCTGAGACAAAATTGATTACCCAGCCATGAAGCTAGCATACCTCATTTGAGAACTGGTTTCCTTCCATCACTCCCAACAGTTATCTCCTCCTCTCAACAAGCCTTGGTAGTAACCCCCACTTACTAGATGAGGCCTAAAATAAGAAGGAAGTTCCCATGGTTTGTTTTGAGGATAATGGTTCCTGTCAGAGCAGCCTGGAGGATGTGGAGGGCTATAACAGGGCAAACTATTGGGAATTCCCCATTGAAGGTTTGAGGTTTGATGTTATCAAATCTGAATCAGCAAATCTGAATTTAGCTATAAAAATGTGCCTTCAAGGTTCATTTGCTTTCAGCTCCTAGGAGCCAAGTTGCAAGGTTTCTTTTGCAAATCTTAGAGACTGCAGGCTTTACGCAGCCCTATCCACAATTGAAACCAAAATAGTCGTTGTGGTATGTTTCCTACCTAGCTGAAACCAGTGAGCAGGGCTGGGATTCAGCAGGCACTCACTGGTATCATATAGCAGCACCTCTTTCAAGCTGCCTTCCTATTCTTCAGAACTTAATCTTGTTTGCTTGTTTTTAAAACAGCCTCTAGATATTATGATTGCAGAGACAGATTTGAAAACATGGACCAAGTGTAACTGATGCAGTGATGTCAGCAGAATGTGAAACAATAGTTCAAAGAGATATGAACTGGGACTAACTCAGATGTCCTATGATAACAATGTCAACATTTAAAATATTAACTATTTCACTACTCAAAGCATATAAAAAAAGGAGAGGGAGGATTATATTAAGGAAATCTACACAAACTATTATGAGTTTGTTCAGTTTGGTACCACCTGGATCTTTAGATGCTTATCTGAACAATATAAGATTTGAGCTTGGGAGAGTTCTTGCTCATTTCCCGGCCCCTTAATCAAGAAGAAGGAGTCAATCCAAGATGCCACGCAGAGCCCTGAGGGCATCTGAGATCTCCCAAAGATCAGCCAAACCCAAGAAATACAATAGGGCATCTGACCCTCCACCTCACACCCACCATCTTCCCTGCACACTCCCCTCGGGCGATCTGACCCCTGCAAGAAAGTCTGTTTTCATGATATTTTCAGCCCAATTTCTTAATCAAAGATGTTTGTGATAGGTTTGGATAAATATCCGGATCTTTAGATGCTTATCTGAACAATACAAGATGTACCTATTACTTTCAGATTCATATATAAATAAAAAAGGTGTATGTATACTTGCGCATATGAACTATGCACATTCAATAATATAGCTGTGGATATAAAACATACACATGCAGCATAAACATACGCAAAACTATGTTACATGTTACACATCATTTTAAACAGAATTACCTGTGCTTCAGTTAAAACTACTACTGATCATTTAAAAATAATAAAAAAACAATAATTAGCAAGCAAAGCACACACATGAATAGATCTGCACATAGTCCCATGGGTTAGCCTTACCAGTGCTGTCATCATAAACAACAGTGACGGTTTTCCACTTGAAAAACTGCACAAGGTCAAGGATGGCACGACTGAGAGAAGAGAAATCTGGGTAGAGGCTGACATAGAACGAGTCCTTGTTGTCAGAAACTTGATGTTTCCAGCGAGTCTGTATATGTGGAACACCCAGGGCGTTGCAGATGGATTGCACGGCATTAGCTGAAGAGCTGTGGGAAGGTCCAAAGATGGCTGCCACCCCAAGGGACAGCTGATCACAGGCTGAAGAGGAGACAGAAGTCTGTCAATTATGAGAGGAGAGAATGTGCCAGAAAGTATTGTACTATTCACATTAACTAAATGGCACTTTGTGAAATATAAACTTATTTTCTGAGGTAGCCCCCTTCCTATTAAATGTTAACACTTTCATTTGCACTGAGACCTTTCCTTTAAATAATGACCAAGTTGAATTATATCTTCAATTTTTACTGTAATTTGATAAAGAACCATACTTAGAATGCATACAGCACATGGCTACATTTAGTCAAAACTTTTAAGTATTGGTATTCATTAAAGAATTAAATCAATGTAAATTATTACACACATCCTGACAGAATATTTGAAAATATTCCCATTGCTGCAATAGAACAGGTTTGTTCTTTTAAAATAGCATTGGGCAGTTAAGTTATATGGTCAGAAAAAGATCTCTGCCAGGATAAAGGCATTTACATGAGATATGAATGATTAATATTGTTACAAAGTCAATACTGCTGACCGCCGATGAAGCAAGCAGTAGAAATATACATATCTCATCACTCTTTTCACTAATTTAAAATTAATCATTCTCATGTGCTTAAATGATGGAGATACTACCAAGTTCCTGATTGTGTACTGAAAACAGGGCAAGAACACCCTGCAGAGCACAGAAACCAACCCACATGGCTGTGAGTGCAGGACTGGGGCCTAAGTGACTACATTTCGCTATAAAAGTAATTCAGCATTGCACTCCAATTTCTACTAATATTGTCCTTCCTACGTGTAGTCCACAAGCTTTATGCAAATGCCAGTAGATGGGCTCTTTAACAACAGTGATAGCCCATTGAAAAGCCATCTGGTAGCTTTTTTTTTTTTTTTTCCTTGCTTCTGAGATTTTGAGAGTGTGATCGTTTTGCACGTGATTTAATACAGCACTTTTCTATAAGAAGCATACCATTTTTTTCTAATGTATTGAGGGAGATTTGGATTACATTTGCATAATTCTTTATTCAAACATCTTGGGAATATTGTGATCTTCCCTGGGGTTACTCTTCTGTATGGTACCTTTAAAAACTCATTAATCTCTCATCTGCAGTCGACTCCAAGAGGCTGTGTGATTAAGTAAACAGACTGTATTTTTGATGTGATGTCTGGTTGCTCACTAATGGGCATAATCATGAACCATGTAACTAGTCAAATGCATAAACACAGTTGTTAAAAACCTGCTTTTCAGCCATCATACTAAGTACACCATTTTATGCTAACCTTTAGCCTTTGATTCCTGACTAAAAGACCTTTCAGCACAAAAGTGGTTGTCAAATGTGTGAAAGTACTTTGTATTCATGAAGCCATGAACTATCAGAGCTGAAAGATTTTACACAGAGTTTAATACAGTCTAGTTAACTGCAAATAAAGATGTACTCTCTCATTTTGAAGTACAAAAGGGACATATAAATATACCTCTATGGGTCTGTGAATTGCAGCATAAGAATAACAGGATAGACAGTGTCTTTGGGCATAGCCCATGTAAGGAACATGAATTACTGTGCTGATCTAGGAAAATAATTAAGACTCAGAAAATTACATTTTCTTTCCAGTTCCCTCCTTGCTTCCTGGGGGGAATGAGGAGGTAGAGTATTCCACTATAGACCCTTGCCCATAGAAAGTTATTTCCCAGGCCCCAACCACCTGCTAGTTCAATAGGACTGGCTGGTGAATGGGCACCCACTCCATGAGAACCACCTGTTTTCTGAGAGTGGGGAGGGAGCAGCAACCCCTCTGAGCCTACTCTAATCTAGTATCTGGAGTGGCAGTCCAGGGAGACTCTGTCAGAGAGCTTCTTGTTCCCCCTGCTCAGCCATATAAGGCTGGGCCACACTCTGGCCCATAACATATTTTAAAGGGGATGTTAAATAAAATGTAAATTTTGCTCTGTACATGCGTTTGGTACAATTTATTTTAGGGCTGTCAATTAATTGCAGTTAACTCATGCAATTAACTCAAAAAAATTAATCACAATTTAAAAAATTAATCACGATTAATAGCAGTTGTAATTGCATTGTTAAACAATAGCATACCAATTGAAATGTATTATATATTATGCCCCTTCATGCTTCAGCCACCATTCCAGAGGAAATGCTTCCATGCTTTTTTTTGTACATAATTCTACATTTGTAAGTTCAATTTTCATGATAAAGAGATTGCACTACAGTACTTGTATTAGGTGAATTGAAAAATACTATTTCTTTTGGTTTTTATACAGTGCAAATACTTGTAATCAAAAATAAATATAAAGTGAGCACTGTGCACTTTGTATTTGTATTGTAATTGAAATCAATATATTTGAAAATGTAGAAAAAATCCAGAAATATTTAAATAAATGGTATTCTATTATTGTTTAGCAGTGAGATTAGTCGCGCAATTAATTTCCTCACATCACCCTTTGCATTAGACAAGAAACCTCTGATAAAATCGGATTATCTGACCACTGCACCTGTGATCTTTCTACCATTCTGACTATGTTGCTAACAATCAAAAAACTGTAATTTCTGCTCTGATGCAGAAAAAAATGCTTTTGCATAGAACGTGAACTAACACAAGCTTGAATCAAACACCTGAGTGTTTTAGGAATAGAAGCCCACAAAGATGAATCTCAGAACACAGCAGGACTTCTCTGTTTTACATTACTATGTATGATACCATACTACAGTCTTACAGTATGTATGAGTATCAGAGGGGTAGCCGTGTTAGTCTGAATCTGTAAAAAGCAACAGAGGGTCCTGTGGCACCTTTGAGACTAACAGAAGTACTGGGAGCATAAGCTTTCGTGGGTAAGAACCTCA